CGTACTGCATGTAGCAGCGATGTCTAAAGGCTGCTGATGCACCAGGGGAACCAAACCTTGGAATGAAAATGGGGAAGATCAAAATGTTCTGTGTCTTCCTTCAGTACTCTCAGGAGAAACACTAGGAAAATTTCCAAGGCGTTCTCCATCCTGCTCTGGTTTATTACTCATATTTATTCTCTCACCCCAGGAAGGGTAGCCCAGGTGTTGTGGCAGCTGGAGGACAGGCCCATGACTTTTAAGAAGCTCACTGTCACCTCACTTAGGACGTGAAAAGGATGTCTGCAAATATATGCACTCTAATTGCAACAAAGATTGGAGCATGGATGATACTTCTGCTGCTTGGTTGCAGAGTGTGAAGTGCTACAGAGGTCCTTGCCATTGCTCGGGTTTTTATGTATTAGGTCTGTCACCAGAATAGTCAGTCAAAATGAGACAGAGCTCCTCCGATAGTACATGGGCTATCAGAGGCAAATAATAAAGCATGAGTGCTGCTCTAAGCAGCTGTCACAGCAATGCTCCTGTTCTCTACCTGGACCTGCCTATTGTGAATGAGGAGAGAGGTTTGAGAGAAAGCAGTCATTATCCTGCATCTAACACAGAAAAAGAATCCAGTAGAAATTTCTACAGAAAAATCTGGTGTAGAAGGAAGTGTGGGAACAGTGGGAAACTAGTGCTGAGCCCTGACTAGAGAGGGCTGAGGACAAAATTAGGTCTATCTCTTTGCAGACTTGCTCTGAAGAGATATGAACATAGTGCTGCCTCTGCTCTGGACTGGGTGTTGGATAGCTATGATGAGCATGGTGCTGGACTGGTAACACTGCTGGGAGGTGATAGCTATGGCTGCAGGCTCCATGCCTCGACAGGCAGAGCTAGCTCACAGCTGCCTGTCTATGGACAACATGCCAGTATGCTCAAGGAAATGTTCCCATTGAGTGCATGTCTAAGCTGTGTAGAGACCTTCATGGTTTGTACTTCACTTACTGGTGTGTAAACAACATCACTGCCTTTACTACCTGTTCCCTTAACAAAGATTTTAGCTTGAGGATATCTATTGTTGCATGTCTTTACTGTAGTGTAACTCCATTGTCATGTCTCTGACTGGATCAGTCCATATTGAACAAAGAACTAGGAGTTTCTGAGGCGGAAAGCTGGTTACTTGGGTGGAACAAGGCCACCATCCCTCTACAGATACAACAAACTCTTTACAAGGTGAACCCTAGGTGTTATTTTAGAGCTAGTCCCCATCTTGCAGATGCTCAAAACCATACACATGAGCATAACTGACATACTACTTTATTAACAGTCACTGTTGCACATGTCAGACGTTGGAATAGGCTGCCCAGGCAAGTGGTTGAGTGACCATCCCTTAACAAGTTTAAAGTTTGTTTAGATGTGGTGCTTGGCGATATGGTTTAGGGGTGTACTTGGTAGAGTAGGGCTGATGGTTGGATGATCTCAAAGGTCTTTTCCAACCTGAATGATTCTATGATTCTATAACCTACATATTTTGAAGAAGTGTTGCTGTAAATATCTTCACATAAAATTTTAAGCACCATACATGCTCTACCCAGTAAATGGGGGAACAGTAGATGCTGCTAGCTATTTTACATCAAAAGTGCCTAAAGGCAAAACAGGCAGATGTGAGGCACATAAGATTAAAAATCTCAACCAGCCCTTGCTGTGCACCAGGGTAAATGACAGCACAAGAAACAGGATCATTACTGAAAAGCCTTGGGTTTCTATCTGGTATTTCATTCAGGTTTTCCTGAGATGAGAGGAGGCACACACTGCTGTGACTGGACAGAAAGTAAGTGCTTGACATGAGCCTTGTCACTTTGTGGTCAACTGTGGCAAGCCCTGGGGTTCATTGTTGTAAAGTAGTGGCATACACAGTACCAAATGCTACATTAATCACATAATGAATTAAAAGGAGTAATGGACATGGATTTCTCTTCCAGCATTTCACTGTTAGATCTTCTCAGCTCAGAAACTGGGATATTTATTATTCAAGAGGACCTGCCATTGCATTTGGATTCAGCTCAATCAAGCATTTTTGTTATAATGGGGAGGGCTAAGAGCTGAGCGGGAAGACCACGAAATTACTTCTAAGACTAGTTCTCTTGCAGGAACCGCCTGTGTAGACAGAAAGTCTCTTTCATGTTTAATGTCATGTAAAGTGCTGTGTACAGCCACTCGCTTAACTGAATGAGTAATGTGAAAGTGATACAGTAATACGAAGGTAATACAAAACCTCTTGAGACATTCATGACAAGAATACCGTCTTTTTGTCTCCATGTATTTTAGAGTGCTCTAGGGGAACCTTTTTTCCAAGAGAAAACCTGACTTACGATTTTCCTACTGTATCTAATTGTAAACAGAATTTCCCATAACAGAAAATCGAGCTGCCTCAAGAGTGCATTTATCTCTTAAAATTGGATACCCACCCATGAGGATGTGTGACCTTGCTGCCAGCTCATGTATTCATCGACTCTCTTTTGGGTTTAGATCTGGTGTTCGCCTGAGATAATAAATGGCTCTGTGGGTCTTACCAGTATAGGTATGGAATAACATAAGTATGTAGTAACCAACCAAATGGGCAGTAAAAGTATAACTGCTTGGAGTTTAAAACCCTGTTTTCAAAGACTTGTTGGAAAAGGTTAAACATGCTTGTAAATATGCCTGTTGTGAGACTTCTCCTGGCTGCATGCCAAGTGACAGGCAGTCCATTTGGATACATAAGGGCAAATGATGCCACAGTTAATGCTTCAGAAACCTCTGGAACATCAGGACTCCCAGCAGGGGTGAAACAAATGTAACACTAAATTAGCTGTGTCAGTGTATTCAGATACTCAATGTGCGCACAGAAACTCTTGGCTCACAGGTGTTAGGACAATTCATAATCTTCCTAAGCAAGAATTGGTTAATAGAGAGAATAGCATAGCCAGTAAATTTCAAACAGGTGAGTGTGGGAAATGTCTATGGACTTTACAGAGTTAATGAT